TTCACTAACAATATTTTGGGAACTAAACATTCCAACTTGGCATTAAGTCGGAATAAACGTAATTTTGATCAACTGTGTTGAAATCATCCAGCAAGTAGTTCATATCATTCAATAGTATATTGTTTCATCATTTCGTGATCATTTGATGATTATTTCTTCATTTCTACGGCAGTAACAGTCAACAACGGAATTTTTCATTTCTGTGGCTTGTAGTCATCTGATTTACCGATATGTAATGCTCATCTACTAGAAACTAGTCATTGCTAGAAATTCGATATTGCACAGTAGATGAGATTTTGGGAAATTGAGTGTATAGTACTTTTATTATGGACTGACGTTGCTGCCATGTGTGAGAATTATACAATTATCCAAATATCTGAAATATTGTTTCATTTTATATTTGTGGGTACAAGAAAAATCATCACGAGATTGTCCTGATTAAAGACGTGAATCGTTCAGGTATTCCCCATTACAAAATAGGCGATATCATGAGAATTGTTTCTACATCAATAGTAATATTATTTTTACCAACTTTGACTGAGATTAACCAAGATTCTCAGTGCAGCTCCATAGTTCAGTTGTATTACATGTTTCATTTATCTTATAATCTGATCGATTTTATATAAAACCCACATTCATATAGAATACATGGTCTCCATTGGCAGATATACTATTTTTTCATTTAATAGACATGTGTGGAAATTTTTAAACCTGTGCGTACAATGACACTAGACAGTGTTATTCCGCATACTTTCGAATAAAAGTTTCTGAACGTTTACTCTAATATTGCGATTAGGAATAGGTTAGTTCGTTGAAGATAGATAGTCTCATCAAGTAACTTTTAACGATATATTTCTGATCCGATGACCATACTCTACCATACTCTTTCTTAACTCACAGGAGGAAGTTCATGAACGCTTGTTATGAATTATTGAGGTGAAGACAAAGAGTCCGAACAAGATTCTTAATCAGGTATGGATTTGTCTAATGAGAGAATAATTTATTCAATGGCACCTGAATTCTATCATAATCTTAAATACTCACTATTAAATCGAAGACTTACAAAAACCAGCTGGAACCCAATATTACAAATAACAGCAGCACTAGTCATGTACTCGGTCAGAAATGACAATGAAAATACATTCTCTAGAGCATCGATGTATCTAGAAATATAAAACCATTATTAGCTTCCATTGAAATCTATGTATCTCCGCAAAAATACATTGGAGAGATTTGATGAGAACATTGATGAAAATGAAAGGCGAAACGTTATTTTGCTGAAAGGATTACAATATGATAAATGTGGAAGACAAGGACTGGAATGTAATGACGACAGAAAATGTAATGATAGAAAATTGGGACTAACCATGAGGGGGCAACACTCGAAAATGAAACGAAAATGAATTATTGAATCATTTTTTGCAAATATTGCTATATTAAATACAGCATTACATTAAAAATTTTAAATTTGTAAAAATTATCTTAAAGCACATCAATAACACAGTATACAATCAAATGGGAACCAAACAGGACAACAACCGACAATAATGGTAAGATGAATGCATGAATTAACAACAGACTGAGACAGAAAAATATACTGAAATGAAAACAAAGCATGAGTCAGAAGTAATCAAACAATCAAAAGTATGTACAGCAGTGAGACATACGCAATTACGCACCCTCTACAGAAAAAACTTCAATGATAGAGGAATGCGATAGAGATGAGGTGTTCAAGAAATGAACAGAACTGAAAAAAGTAGGTAAAACAAAAAATAATCTAACATGAGGATAAATAGTACGAAGGCGTAGAAGTGCAACAGTTCTATTATTTTTCAATTCCGAATTTTAACTCGGAATTCTGACTTGTTACTCGCAATTTCGAGTTGTAACTCGAACTCGGAATTTCGACGAGTAACTCAGAGTTCCGACCTGTAACTCGGAGTTCTGACTTGTTACTCGGAATTCCGACTTGTAACTCAGAATTTCGGATTGTATCTGGGGATCACGAACTACCTTCAGTAGCACAAAATGTGAGGGGAAGTTGACTCTCATTGGCCCAATATTGCAAGTCTATATACTGGCTGAATTATAATGTTACATAATGAAATAGCTGCCTGATTCAACATAAAATACAAAATAGACAGTTTCTGATTTTTTCAAATCGTGTTGACCAGGAATGGAAATATATTTGACAGTTGTATATTAAACAGCATTCAGCACTCCGTGCGAGTTATACACTATTCGTTTTCTACGGCTGTGACATATAATAACTAAATTCCTGATTCCTTCAGGTTTCAGACATCTGAATTCCTCTTGGTTGATGCTTCATTAGACAGAGCTGTCATTACTTGGAATCTGACATTTCATGGGGAATGACATTTATTGTAATATAGCTGTAGAAAACATATATCCCAAACAGATTGGGTAATTAGGTACTCATTCAATATCCCAAAAGTTGTTTGTTCTACAAACGTCAAAAAATGAATAGGTTCGCGCATTTATAACAAATGACGAAGTTACACATTTTTTGTCCTACATTACCACGACACCCTGTGCAAAGCAGTGCGCGGAGTAAAATGATGCGCAAAGTTCATACTTCGCGCATTGTATGTAAACTATATAGTCCTCAATCGAGCAAACATCCAAGAAATCATTCATTTCTGGATGTTCAATAATAATTTTTTTTATCTCGACAGAAAATTCCCATAATGTTCGTGTAACATCATGCGTCCCTAGGGAGGATAGGAAGATGCCTTGAGGCCAGTTTGACATTTAATATATAGTAGAGCATATTACTACTTCAGAATTATATTTTCTGACGTTTGTTGATGAATTGTGACTGCAACTCGTGCGCGAATTACTTTGGTCATCACGAATATTTCTTTCAACTCGGGTGCGCCTAGTTCAACAATTCAGTTCTCGATCAGCAAAGTAGCATTTCGCGCACTGAATACGAATATATCTATTTCTGGGGTCACAACAGTTGCAATAAGGAAGAGAGAGTAGAATAGTCCAAAATTGTCTTCCATTGCTTCTGGCTGACTTATTTCCAAAAATAGGTATTTAAGAATAAGATATACCCATCACAAAACTGTTTGCCCCTTCAGAATCTGAAGAGTGAATTAGCCCCTTGTAGCAACCAAGTATAGTAACACACAGCCGACTGCTCTGTAGGTTGTCTGATGAATAGTTGCTGGGTTGGGCCAATGAAACCATCATCATCAAGTTTTACCAGTAGAACTTTATTATATTCATGAAAAGACAGAATCCAAACGAGGTCTCATGTAACAGGATAGAAAGCATAATGTATTATGATGTAATGATTCACATAAAACAACAGATTACATGTGGTAATATAAATTATAACACTCAGGGGAGATCTCGCTTGGGGAAACGTATATCAATTAATCAAGAATAATCTTGGCTGAGGGCTCTATAATTAATTAACCAGTTATGGAGGGTTCACCTTCAGCGCGGTAAAAAAACTGGTTACTGTATATGTAGGTGAGTAGGTGGTTAAGGGAATTCGAGAACCTACAATCAAACCTGAACAAAGGTATTCAGGTAGGTCTGGGTACAATGTACAGTTGGAATGATATGCGCCTCATATTCGATGTCCGATACAGAGTTGTGGGAGAGAGTGGTAGGAGACAGACTGGCTGAAGATATACCACTAGCAGCCCTATGTGAGTTGGAAGTTCTAATTAATATCTTATAGGGCTCAAGAATTATAGGAAAAAGAACAGGAACCAAAAATCTTCCTGAAATGTTATAAAAATGGGAAACACTCACGTGGATGGAGGTGGCTGTTGTAGAAGTCGTCAACTCTGGATTAGGCAGACGATGGCAAGGTGGTCGATTTTCCGGTTGGAATACAAACAAGTCGATAGTTGAATAAATCACACAAGCGATAATGACCGTATACACACAACAGCACATCAAATCTTCAACTTGAATTACAGATGATTATCAAATGCCCCAACTCAGGGAGCTTCCTAATTCGGACAGTTGGAAAAAATGCACCGGACATAAACAAAGAGGAAAAGAGAGCTCGCACACGAAAAAAAAAAAAGGAAAGAGGCAGCACCTATCACTGATTCGAGAAGATTCTGGATGAATCCGAACTCGATCAATTACCAAGGCCGTCTCCAATGAGGAAGTTGCTATTCTCCGATTGCCCTTGAGCTATAACCTATAGCAATATGCGAAAAAACTTATTTAATGTGAACATGAGTGAATGAAACATTTGTACAGCATGATGGCTGTAGCCCGCACTCTTGATAGTCTTCGGGCAACTTCATGTGGCTACTCAAATGCACAGGTTGGCATAATGCACCTGATCAAAATGTCACTCTGGACCTCCTAAATTAGGTGAATTAAAATTGAAGATAAAATTCCTGGAATATTCATATCATTAAATATCAAAGGCGTTGCTTATGTTGTGGTAAGTCTATCTCTCAGAACTATAGATATAATTATTTTATGCCGAACTCACAGACTTTGCTTCAATTGAAGAGAGTATTATTATTTATACAGGGTGTCCCAGACAGGGAACATCTAGGACTTCGAGAGTAGTAAAATATCGTAATTTTGGTGTTTTAAATTGAATGATATCATGTCGCCCGATGAACTTCTTGGTTTTGGTCACCAGATCTCAGATTCAAAATGATTAATGGCACAACCTTTTTATTTTGGCATCCCCATGTTCCTCCCAATGAAACAACACAAACAACTTCAAATTATCATCTCAAGATTACAATTTTCCACCGATAAATGAAAATTGTAATATACATTATGAGTATAGCGACTTGAAGTAGGAATCAATCATGTTCTCGCATCCTGTTGCATATTATATTATTATATTGCATATTGTGTTGCTACTGCTAATGCTTTCGCTACTGCTTCTGCTGCTGCTGCTTCATAGTCTGTCGCTGCTGAATAATGTTGCTGTTATAGCTGGAATATGTCAAATTCAAGGTGGTGCCGATCCAACATCATCTTTAGTCTAAGAGGGAGGGAGGTAGGTCAGATTCATCATCATGGCTATAAAGAAGAATGTATGGCGTTTCGGATGATCTTAGCAGATAATGTTCTTGATACGGATCATCATTGAACTGGTAGCAGTCATTCATATCCTCGGAGATATATACACTGGAACCGCAGTAGACTGCATCTTGATACTCTGGTGCGAGGATGGATCGTACTGAAAGAGTTTTAGAATTAAAATCAATCAAGGCGGCGCCTCCATGATCTTGGTTAGGTATTCTCTGACGGCCAGCAATAATATCATTCAACAAATATATGATATTGTGATATCAGCCACTCAGGGTCAATTTCCCTCTACGATATTGTGCTACTGAAGGCGAGTCGTAATTCCGTGATTCAGTCCAGAATTTCGAGAAACAATTCGGAATTCCGAGTTAGAAGTCGATATTCCGAGTCATACGACGATTTTACAAGTTGCAAATGGAAATTTCGAGTCAACAGGTCGGAACTCCGAGTTACAAGTCGGAATTCCGAGTTACAAGTTGAAATTCCAAGTTACAAGTATGAATTCCGATGCACAATTCTAAATTCAAAAAGAAAGAAAACTGTGGTACTTCTATGCCTCCTTAGTAGATGCAGTTATGATTTATGGTTTGGTTTACATGGTTGTTGTACGGGGGTTCTCTGTGTTGATAGAGAAATATTCTGAATTCATTCTTGGGTCTGATTATTCCTGTACTCCATACATCGTCCTCCTTCTTTCTTCTTGAAAATAACTCCATCAGCAATCATCAGATCAGGTACTCTCTTTGTAGGCCAATCATAGCATACCTTACTTTTGTCCATTTGTTTGTCAATATCTCTTGGTTTTGATGAAACATCAATGGGTAATAACTCACTGTTTTCTATCTGACTGGTGCATCTTGAATTTCGTGCAAAAAGTCATTGCGCAGGACTACATCGAATTTTATTTGGTGTAAGCATAAGCGTTTCGTAGAAATAGCTGTTACTCTTAATGCTTCAAAGAAAAAACCATTGCAATCTATTGGAATAGCCAGGCGGTAATCAAAGCCAGTTAACTCAATGCAAGTTAACTCAAAGCTTGTATCGGACTGCTCAGAAACCCTGAATGAACAGAACAGACCGACTCTAGCATGGGTACCAGCACATACAGGGTACGAGGGCAATGGAGAGGCAGACTCAATTGCTCGAGCAGGAGCAAACAAAGCTCTCAATGGCCCAGAACCCTTTTGTGGTATTGCGAAAGCTATACAAAAAACAAGTATCAAATCATGGATGCAAACCAAATCTCAAGAATGGTGGAACAACTCGCCAGGAATGAGGCAGGCAAAAGAGTTCATTGAAACTTATCGCCAACATTCATTCATATTTAGTGAGCCAGAAACAGAGTACAACTAGTGTAGTGTAGTAAGAACTGCTGTGCAGGTTCTGTCAGGAAGAGAAGGGAACAGCAGTACACATACTTTGCCACTGTGAGGGCTTGTCAAGACTAAGGTTCCTAATGCTGGATGAGTCTCATAGAGAAGGTGGGGCTAGCCAAAGAACTCTTGCGGTGTGAAGGCAGATATCCCGAAGGCCCCACTCTAAATTTAATCTAATCTACTCTTTATGCTCTTCATGATTAGACGTGTTTGCTACTTCCACGGCTGATTCAGCCCCATCATCTCCCTACGATTAATTTGGACTTGATGTCACATGTCTGAGTTTCCAAGATTCGTGGAAGTCATTGAATTAGGAGTTGATGAAATTTGTTGCATTATCGCTGATTAACTTGATCGTCCCTTTTTGTCGACGGATCTCTCCATAATGGTCCACTCGTCCACCAGTATCAGGAAATTATTTTGTTTCCCCTCTAATCTAAACTGACAATTTCGAATAATTCCTGGGGAGTATTATGTTATTTCATAGAAGAATTTTATTAGTTTCTAGAATGTTCGAGATATACTTCATTCTTTCGGATTTTTCCCTTGATTTGTGTAGTAATGTATGGAAATAAACTTGTTCCATTGCTAGTTAATCCTATAGATTTTTGGTGGAATCACAATCCAATGTCTTCTGAATATGACTCCATGTCGAGTGTGCAGCTCTTCTTTGAAGAACACCCCAGAAGGGACGTACCAGGAGTGGAACTTCTTCTGAATTCATGATGAAAATAATTTTGAAATCGTAATTTACGGGTCCAGTACCAGGTGTGAGTGTTACACTTTCATCTGCTTGAGTGAAATACTTTTTATAATCTCGTCATTGACATCACGAGTTGAAATGTTGAGAGAAATGAAAAATGTTAGAAATATCTTGACGACAAATCATTCACATACCTGATAATCTGGATATGGTGTCTCACGCAGTCTCTGACACTTTGATCGTCCTGAATATATCCGTCGAATTCTTTCTTCATCGAGTTATGAAATAATTTCTTCAATTTTTCATTTAGAATATCGATTTGGGCGCAGCCGATACCTATCAAACTCACGGCTAGAATATCTAGGGAAGAGTTGTTGCTTGCCGCGTTAACCATTCCTGTGGAATAATGTGAATTTGGTCAATGACAAAATGTCGTTTACGAAGTGTCGAAATATGTTATGTGACCTGGATATTCGGTAGAAACTGACATTCTTTCTTGGGGTGTCGCGTCAATTGGACGTGGAAAATTGGACGCACGACTATTGGTCGCAGTCAATTGGACGCGGCGACAATTGGACGCGGCGACAATTAGACGCGGCGTCAATTAGACGCGGCGACAATTCGACGCGGCGACAATTCGACGCGGCGACAATTGGACGCATGCGTAAATAAAAATAATTTTATAATTCCAATGAAATTCATTGTATAAAATATGAAATACTGATGGGCTTGTATCCATAATTATAACAAATACCTGACAGGTTAGGTTAGGTTAGGTTAGGTATTTGTTATATTATAGATATGAGCCCTGCATATTCCATGCAATAAATTTCATTGGAATTATAAAATTATTTTTATTCTCGCATGCGCTCAATTGTCTCCGCGTCCAATTTTCGTCGCGTCCAATTGTCGCCGCGTGCAATTGTCGCCGCGTCCAATTGTCGCCGCGTCCAATTGTCGCCGCGTCCAATTGTCGCCGCGTCCAATTATCCGCGTCCAATTTTCGTGCGTCCAATTGACCACGTCCAATTGTCGGTAATCCCTTTCTTGGCCATATTTATTGAAGTAATTCGAAATTAATCACTTGTGCCGTATTCAATATTTTTTTCATCACAGGACCTTATACCCCTCGGCTGAAGCCTTGGGATATAATCTTGGTCTCTGGGAAATGAAGATATTCTTCACTACCTCAGTGAATACAAAATTATTATCATCTCTCCAATGATGTATCTTCGAAGATATTGAAAAACAACTATATCTCACAGTATGCTTTGAGTTTCGTATCTCACTTCGACTTGTCATATACATTATTTTATCCAACACTTTCTTTGAGAATGCAATACCAATTCAACTCCCATCAACCCATTTTCAGAAATGAGAGTTCTCTGATGGTGGAAATGTATTATTCGATTCAAGAAGTGAAAAAAGTCAGAGATAATTGATGTCGATATTCATGTAGATTCAGGGTGCCATAACTATTGAAACATAGGATACGTAACGCCACGTGTAAATAATTCCTGATGATGGAATCGATTGTTAACTTCTGTTGACGAAATTTCTTTGTGATTTTGATTCGAAAGTATGACATAAAGATAGTCTCTACGCGATATATTGGTACTCCTGATTGAACAAGAAATTCTTACTCGTTCTCGAGAAAACCCAATTTGCTACGAATATTTTGAATAAATATCTTGCACGAAATACAAATCTTCCCTTCCTTGGTAAAACCCAATTTAGCAGTTCAAAGTCTCGGAAGGAGCATTCAAATATTATTTTATTTATTGAGAGTGTGATTTGGACTGTCGATAATTGGTGCTGGAAAATGACATTTCTTGCCAGTGAATTAATCTTGGTGTGGATTTAAACTCAATACTTCCTCGATTGAAACGCCCTGTATCTTTTTCCACAGCAATATTTCATGATGGCATATTTGATCCTATTGCCATATTTTGATCCAATCAATCTGCCGTTAGCCTATGTCTCAATAGTTATGACCCACCCTGTATACAGTGTGTAACTTCAACTCGCAACACTCGCTCAATTTGGTATCCGTTTCTCGATTTTCCAAAATAAGAATTTCAATAGCACCTAATGAGGTCTTTTCGAGAATGTTGACATGTTTTTTTCTCGTATAATAATTGACTATGCATTTGAATGAGTGTGTGATTAAGAATTTCTATGGTAAAGATTCGTTAGGATTTGAAATACATAAGGCCTGTTCATTTGTGCTTACTCTACCTGCTGAACTTGATTTTTTTTCTATGACTTTCTCTATTTACATCATGCTATGAATAAAGACAATTATAGACGAAAATACAACTTTGTCAAGTTCAGAAAATACAAACGAACAGGCCTATGATGTATATTTATAACTAAAAAGCAGCGGGCTCCGTTAAGATTCCTGCAGAGGGAACCTGAGTTCACAGCTACGCCACTGCATAACTGAGATACCATCATACAAAATTTCAACCCAATACTTTATATGGGGTGTGAGTTATTTGATGGCAAATTTTAATATTTTGACTTTTCCAATTCAACCTGTTCCAAAATCTAGGGAGTTGATATACCAGTGAGGTAGTCATTTCAATGAGGAACATATCAAATAGTCAGATACGAAGTTGCGTCGTTGTTAGTTTTACAGGAAGATATCTTGACGTCTACCAAAAACGAATGGAACTGAAGTTGAGGATCACCATTGTTTTTCACACATTGTACGTACCAAATAGTTACTTCGAAAATTCCACACCATATATTTTGGACCGATTGAAAGCCTGTATTTTGTATCGCTAGCAAATTATGGAAATATCTTTCTCCACCTTGAGGAAAGGAGCAATAGATTACACTGGACAATTTTCGAAGTTGAGTTGATAAGTTCCTTGTGGGGAAATATATTTTTACCATTTTTGGCTGAATAAATAGTACTTCCGAGTATATTCAAATCAACTTAAGTAAAATGCATTTGAGAAATTGAGCTTCCCACTTATTTCTCATTATTTTGTGTAAATAAAGAAAGTTAGTTGTGTTATATTCAACATAACTTTGTGATGGATATGAATCATATCAATACTACGATACTATCATGCTTCATGAGACAAAAGTTATTCAAGAAGAAAACTCAAAATTCTAGATATTTCTCAGCTGAAAAAAATAATATTCAGGAAACAGTACTCCACTATATGTCTACTCCAAGACGCACAGGTTCTGAATTTGAGGAAACTATATACGAACCACATAATCACCTATATGTATAGAAATTAAGATCTATTGCAAAAGACAAAACACAAGTATCACACTAGAAATCAAAGTAATGATAATGGAGCGATAGCTTCTACACATAAATCTACAGGTCAGAGATGTTTCACCTATTTATTATATATTATTATATATATTATATATATATTATCTTCCTACCTGAAATATATAAATCCTATATTCACATTATGAATTCTTTTAAACTTATGAAAGAGTTATTCAAAACTCTTTTATTAAATCTAGCAATAATCACGATGAATGAAATGATTGAGACATGAATAACTTTATCATACTGTCTACTATAATTATATTTATATACCTAATATACATTTATCTTCCTTATATATTCATTTTATCTTGAGTACATGTATTTTTTCATGAAATTTTTTGTTTAGTATTGTTTCTCCCAAACAACCTACATTGAGGTTACATGGGATACATCCATATCTTTGTTATAGGGATTCCCTTTCGTGCGCTCCAAGCGATAAAAAAAAATATATATAATTAACTGCTGTATATATTCATTTTCTTCTTTGAATAAACATTATTATTATTATCATTATAATTATGTAACGAAATATATTTCTACCAACTTTAGTGGAATGAAGTTAGTCAAGAGAAATATTTTGAACATCCACCAGCTGCCTTATCGATATTTTGCGTAACTAAAGGCGATATTTTGTATTTTATCAGGCGTAATCTTATCCTAGTATCTTTTTGAATTTCTCGAACACAAATATTCAGAAAATTTCCAAAAGGGTCGTGTTCTCGAGCGAATTTTTGATAATAATTGAACCTTCCGTGATATTATAAGTGAATATCAACTCAAATGACAGATAGCTGTTGTAACGGCATTTATTTCCAGGGCCCTTTCTTTGGCGCTTGTTCGGACAGAGCTGACTCTGGTACTTGTCGGAGGGGTCTCGGGCGCCAGATTGTTCATGATGTGGTTCATTCCATCTGCTTCTATAAATTCCTCACTTTATTAGAAGGCCTGGGTAACAACAGTAGAGACAGGTACAGGAGGTATACCTACCTGGGTACCCACAGTATAAACCAGCGATCAATGTTATTGAATCGACCTGGAATCAATCACATCAATCAATCAAAGGAGCCAAGGGAGTGTAGGCTTTAATTATAAACCCTGGGATCAGCCTGGAATACTGGTTGCTATTTTTATTCTGGATAATTACAGGAATCAAAGCAAATATTTTTGTCGAAAACGAAAACTATTTCGTTAAGTCTACCTGGAGAATCGGAGACACAGTTCCAAACAAATTGAACACATTCAATTCAATTCTATCTTTTCTTTTTCTTCAGTTTTCTAATTTTTGCAATATCGGAATTCTAGTATGGTTGATTACCTTTATCCATTCATGTTGATATTTCATGAACCACAATCCACCGCCTGACAGGACACAAAGCACAGGGATACCGCTGCATAGGACTGGAATGCTCAAGGAAAAGAAGAAGAAGAAGGATTGACAACTAGCTATGCCAGTGTCAGCCGTCAGTCAACAATAATAAAAATGAGCAATTTGACAAATGAAAATATTAAAAATAATCAAACAAATTATTGGAACTATTGGGACCTAAACACAATGACAACAGAGAAAGGAATATAGAATATTCTATCAAAAAAAGTTTAGTCGCAAATACACATTTCTAGGTTCGTTTCACAGGTCGGGTGTGTATCAGTATGAAGAACAATTGCTTGAAGCGCACGAAAGGGAATCCCTATAATGTTCAAAGAACATCGTGCGTTCCTAGGGAGGATAGGGATAGGAGGTAGGTATTGGAATTTTTGTTGAACTTCTGGAGGTTATATGTTGTTGGGAATACTTCCTCAGGCAATGAATTCCAGAGCCTAGCCGTTCTATGGATGAAGGAGTTTTGATAAAGTGCTGTTCGACATCTTTCGAGGTTGACAACGAAGGGATGTGCTGACTGGCTTGTCTAGTTCGTCTGACTGGTATTGCTAGTGATGGGATGATAGCAGAGATTTCCGAAGCACATTTCCCGTGGAAGTATCGATAGAAAAGTGAAAGGCCGCCGACCTTTCTACGGTGTTCCAATGAGGTCAAAGAGTGAGTGAGTATGGCGTCACCCACCAGGCGGATGGCTCTTTTCAGGATGGAATCTAA